TAGAGCTTAGGGTGGGGCTAAGTGAACACAGAGTCAAAAGACTGTACAGGCAAACTGCAAAGCTTGGAATTTTCTGGTAATATTAATCAAATTTATTCTTTAGTTTAAATTTCCCAACTGTAAGTCTTGTCATGTCAACCACTACAGAAGGCTACATAAGAAATCTGACAAATCTATTGAACATCTAAATGTAAAGCACTGTGTTAAACATTGTGAAGAATCATTTTGCCTTCTCATACTGTTCATGGGGTTCTCAAGGAAAGAATACTGAAGTGGTTTGCCATTCCCTTCTCCAGTGGACCACATTCTGTCAGACCTCTCCACCATGACCCATCCATCTTGGGTGGCCCCACGTGGCATGGCTTAGTTTCATTGAGTTAGACGAGGCCACGGTCCGTGCGATCAGATTGGCTAGTTTTATGTGATTATGGTTTCAGTGTCTGCTCTCTGATGTCCTCTTACTTGGGTTTCTCTTGCCTTGAACGTGGAGTGTTTCTTAACAGCTGTTCCAGAAAAGTGCAGCCGCTCTTCCTTGCCTTGGACGAGGGGTATCTCCTCACGGTCGCCCCTGCTGACCTTGAACATGAGGTAGCTCCTTTCGGCCCTCCTGCAACTGTGCAGCCACCACTCCTTGGACGGGGGTTGTTCTTCTCGCCTACCGCCCCAGACCTCAGGTTGTGGTAGCTCCTCTCGGCCACCGCCCTAGACCTCGGCCATGGGGTAGCTCCTCTCGGCCACCACCCCTGACCTCGGCCGTGAGGTAGCTCCTCTCGGCTGCTCCTGCGCCATCGCAACCTGACTCTCAGACGCTGCCCTTGACCTTGGGGGAGGGGCAGCTCCTCTCGGCCGCGCTTCTGCGCTGACCCTCACAGCCAGCGCGTCACTCAGTCATGTCTGACACTTTGTGACCCCATGGACTGTCCATGGAATTCTCCAGGTCAAAATACTGGAGAGGGTAGCCTTTCCCTTCTCCAGGGGATCTTCCCAACCCAGGGATTGAACCCAGGTCTCCCGTATTGCAGGCAGATTCTTTACCGGCTGAGCCACAAGAGAAGCCCGCACAGATATATAAACATATGTACAGTCAAGCTCAGACTTATTTATATACACCTATGTACACAATCACATTTGTGCTAATATACAGTTTTACACAAAAGGGGTATTATAGCATCTTGATTTTCTATCTAATATATCTTAGAAAGTTTTTGGTATCATGCCATGAAGAGTTATGCCATTTCTTAAGAAGAATGCATAGTAATATACTATAATCTAGGTAGCTAGTTCGCCATTGAAAAATATTTACCTTGTTTCTGGATGTTTTCTTTTTTTTTTTCACCACTACAAATGATGTTTTGGTAAATATCCTTGTGTACATGTCTTTGTGTACTTGTGTGAGTATATCTATATGGCAAATTTTAAAAAGTATATTGTTTAGTAGGTCTTTTCAAGTCCTCTGCGGTCTTTTTTCTGTTAAGAACAGGGCCAGGAGGTGGTAGAGGTATCTTCTGTGCCTCCTACCACAGCTTCATAACCAATTTTTTGACTTCTTCACAATTTTCATTGTCTCAGAAGCTCAGGACATAGTTGCACTGTTTTCTCCTGACCTCCTTTCCTGGTCACTCTCTTATTCCCTGAAGACTTTAACTCTGGTTTACTGTCCTCCTTTTCATTCTTGCTCCTTTCAAGATTTTCAGTGACTTTAACATCATCTCACATCCCAGTCTCCTCACCCATACTGATTTGTTCTTCCATCCCTCACAGCCACCAACACCCATGATTATAACATGAACGTTTTCATTACAAAGTATTTGCAACACAAAAGGGCTTCCCTGGTGGCTCAGCTGGTAAAGAATCAGCCTACAATGTGGGACACCTGGGTTTGATCCCTGGGTTGGGAAGATCCCCTCGAGAAGGGAACGGCCACCCACTCCATCTTGAATTCAAGGCTTCTTTCTCTAATAACCAGTCCCTCAACTTTCAACTCACTTATGCCAATATCTCTACTAAGAAATAATTCCTTGACCTCATCAATACCTCCAATTCATTCAACAATACTTTTTTCACTATCTAATATCTTCCTTTTTTTCATTTCCCCAAATCCTGGCTGAACCTAGCTATCAGCCTTCTCTTCATTTACTCTAGTGCAGCTAAAAGCTGCTAGAGAAAAACCACACAACTAAGCGCATGGGCTGTATTTTAAACTAACACCACAAAACTCCAATGGGCACTCAGCCCTGCTTAGAAGTTTTACTTACATTTCCCAAATAAATTTGATTCCAAGCCTAAAAATAACAATTTCACAATGTTTTTTCTTTTTATCTTGTACCTCACTTAATAGCTTGATGTTATATTTTACTGAAAAAATAGAAGTAACCAGACAAGATGGTTTCCATGTTCTCACCATCAAAGCTATTACAGTGAAAGAAATACCTCTGCTCCTATCAAAATCTCCTCTGCTGGTGTTCTAGCTCCCTCAGACTTCACTTCTGCAACTCTTCCCCTTTCTCTTCTGCATTACCTATTTCTCTTTCTTTAGGATAATTCTCATCAGATTATAAGTATGCTCCAGAATTTCTCTTTCCCCCAAGCCCAGTCTCTTCTAACTACGATCCCATTTTCTGACCCCCTTCATGTAAAACTTCTTAAAAAGTGTTACATACATGTATCTGTTATCTCCATCTTATTTCTTGTAACCCTAATTTGGCTTCCAAACTCACTGAAACTGATGAAAGTCATCAAAGACCTTCATATTGCCAAATCTGATGGATTCGTCACTGTCCTCAACTTTTTATGTCTCTGAAGACTAGTCTTTAGGTAACCACTCACTCCTTGATCTTTATGACATCAAGCTTTTCTGGTTTTCCTCCTGTCTGTCTGTCTCTTCTTCAGTCTCCATTGCTGACTCCATATTCTCTATTCAGTGCTTAGTCCTGGACTCTTTCTTTTCCCCTTCTATGCTCTCTCCCTGAGTGATCTAGTCTAATCCCATAGCTTTAAGTCACCAAAATCTTGTTGACTTCCAACTTAGCATTGAACATTTCCAATTATCTAAGAGACATCTGCACTTTAACAATAAAACTCTTGATTTCCTTCTAAAACCTGAGAATTATTCTTGACTTCTCTCTTACCCTTGTCCCATTACTCTGCTCCCATTAAGTAAGTCTATTGATTGTACCTTCGCTCCCAGGCTCCTTATCCAAAGCATCTTCATTTCCTACCTGGACTACTGCAGCCACCTCCTAAGTAGTCTTTCTGCTTCTAACTTTGCCTTCAATAATCCATTCTCCCCACAAGCTGATCTTTTAATACATGATTCAGTTTATGTTATTTGAATGTTTAAAGCTCTTTAGTGGCTTTCTATGCCACTAAAAATAAGAACAAAAAACAAAAAAAAAAATCTTTGCCAGGGGCTATAAGACCCCATGTGATCCAGCCCTACTTATCTTCTCAACTTATTTCCTCCTTACTTGCTATGCTCCAACTGCACTGGACTTTTTTCTGTTCCATGAACTTGCCAAGTTTTCTTTCCTCAAGGACTTTGTTCTGGTATACCCTCTGCTTATGATGCTTTTCTTCCTCATTATTATGTGACAGTAATTCAAAATTCATCTTCAATATCACTTCTTTAGAGAGGTTCTCTCCATCTAAAGTGCCCTCCCCACGTCGACAAAATACTCTGTAGTTTATTATCCTATTTATTTCCTGAATAGCAGTTATCTCATTCAAATTATATTTTTTATTTGTTTACTAGTTTGCTGTCTGTCTCCTTCATGTAAGTTAAGGCAGGTACTTTGCCTTTCCTTTCACTTCTACTTCCCCAGCATCGTAAATAGTTCGTGACTTATAGAAAGCATTCAAATATTTGTTATAAAAAAAGGATGAAGCAATTGAATTATTAATATATATTTAGGTAATAGTGACAAATGCTTTAACAAATGCTGACAACTGATAAATTGTGCATTTTGCTGGAAGAGCATCATTTTGAAATTTATTTGGAAATGAATTCCCCAAATTAGAAAGGTTTGCTGTCATGAACTAATCATCCACTCTTCTGGTGATCTATTATATCCCTTTAGCCAATTTCTTGTCCAATAATTCTTATATGAAATTCATAAGAAAATCAATATTTTTACTTTTATCATGTTAATTAGAAAGCTATTTAATAGAGTTATACTGTTTTTGAAAAAGCCTCTCAGGTGAATAGCTTTGGCCTGGCTTTTGTTTTTACCACTTTGCTGATATTTCTAAATTTTGATGCCAAATAAGTGTACTGTCTGAATTTAACCCCAGATGTTCTGCTTCTCAACCTTGGAGTTTTAAAAAGAATTTTTTTCTGTTCTGTTACCAGACTACAGTTTTTTTTTTTTTAAGAAAAAAAAAGTGAAAAAATATATTTTTATCATACAAGAGTAATTTATGTACCTCAAAACATTTTTCTCCTTTTGGAAATTTATTACATTTGTAAAACACTATTCTTCCAAGGCCTTAGATTACAATTAGCTGAAATAATAGAAGAATTATACCAATGGTAACAATTCTCAAATCAATGTATCTAATAGGATTCAGTTACATATATTAGGCTCTTTATAATATGTAGTCCCAATAAAAAAATACATAAATCTTTTTTGTATAGAATTTATAACTAGGTAGAATTTATGTATATTGAAAATTTCAGGCTGGCTTATGTAAGTTTATTCTGGACAAGTTTTGTTTTTATTAAAACTTAACAAACCACCGGATTAAAATTGCTTCCTTCGGTTAACATCTAAAAAGAAAACCATCCTTTCCTCCAGTGTGACAAAAGGCCTTTGTTAATTAGGTCTCAGTGTGTATATTGGCCACATTTGGCAAAGTCCAATCCTCGCCAAAAATAGTAACAACCTGCTCTGGATGGCAATCGAGCAGCAAATCTATTTTCAGCTTTAATGCTTGAAACTCCAACTGCTAGATGCCATGGAACTAAACCTTAAATGGCATAAGTGAACTAGTCTGATACTTACGGACAGGACACAAGTATTTGGAGTGTTCCAAAACATCTGTTTCTGTATTCCAAAAGAAATAATACTTTAGGCTTGATAGAGGAATTTAAATCTAACTTTGACACATGTAAAACCAGAAGAATCTGAGAACTGAAACAACTGGGAAAGGAAGAGTAGAATGATAGAATCTTAGTTGTAGTCTCTTATAGTACCCTAAATTTCCTATTTTCTTAGTGTTTCTGATTTTTATTATTAATATCTTTGTTCTCTTACCTGTCTCTGAGTGTGCTGGGGCCTAGATAAGGATACAGGTTTTCTTTAAGCTTTCCTTTGATGAGATGGTCCAGGGTCTCATGTAAGAAAGGTTGATGCTGAGTATATACATTTTCTACTCCCTAAGACAGGGGGAAATGGTTCTTATGTCACTTTTTTTGAAACGTGCAATGTAACTGTTAATGATACTCATATCAGAAAAGGACATGCAATAGAGATGGGATAAGAGTCAAGCAGGAATTTTAGGAGAATTTTAGTTAATTATTTTCATCAATAGAAATGTTCCAATCTTATGAAAATACTCTGTAATTTAAAGCTGGCTATTATAAAGGAATTTTTAAAATGCAACTACTTAAATTCCTTATCATTTCTTCACTGATTCATTTTTTTGAGAAAATATTATATGATAGGTAAATAAAAAGAAAAGGACTATGTAGCAAAAGAGACAAGACACACTCAGGAAAATGAAAAAATTTCAGGAAACATAAGAAAGGCTAGTAGATTACAACTAACTTTTGGCCATATTAAGAAAATAGGTCGTTTTAAAAGATTTATAATTGCTTGCTTCATCTTTAATTTCTGTCACAGAAAAATTACCTGACAAACCTTAAATTATAAACAAATGGAATAAAATAGTTATGACTAACAAAACTGTCTGCCTTTTTATTCTTGGGTATTTCCTGGAAATATCTTACTCTTCCCTTATTAGCTATTTGGGCCAATGCTGATGCTGTTCCAATACAGAAAGTATTTAAAAAAAAAAAAGTAAAGAAAAAGCATTCAAGAGACCATCTGCTTTAATTTCACTTAACTGCACGCATGCATGCTAAGTCGCTTCAGTCATGTCGGACTCTGCGACCCCATAGACTGTATCCCGCCGGCTCCTCTTCCATGGAATTCTCCAGGCAACAGTACTGGAGTGGATTGCCATGCCCTCCTCCACAGGAGGATCCCAACCCAGGGATCAAACCCGCATCTCCTGTGTCTCCTGCATTGGCAGGCGGGTTCCTTACCACTAGCGCCACCTGGGAAGTCCCTCATTCAAGTGACATAGTACTAAATCAGCAGCAATCCTGAAGTTACTTGGAAGATCACATTCATTCACTCTCAGGGTCAGGGGCTTCAACTGTTTCGCATTTAGGAAAGCATAGTGACATACCTTTAATCCTTTGAGGAACTGTTTGGTAATAGCCACAGCATCTTTGGGGCTGAAGAGGTCACTTCCTCTGACCCGTTTACCACCATATTCAATTACTGCAGACACAAGCTTTGTTTTAAAAAAAAGAAAAAAGAGAAAGAAACAACTTCTTATTGCTTGGGGAACAGGAAGAAAATAACTTTATTAAGGAAATGAAGACATGAGAGGACAGAAATAGGATCAAACCCAGTCTCCCACATTGCAGGTGGATTCTTTACCAGCTGAGCCACAAGGAAAGCCCAAGAATACTGAAGTGGGTAGCCTATTCCTTCTCCAGTGGATCTTCCTGACCCAGGAATTGAACCGGGGTCACCTGCATTGCAGGTGGATTCTTTACCAACCGAGCTACCAGGGAAGCCCGTAAAAACACTATGACTCATCATCTGTCGGAACTAAAAGGCTGTAACAATAGAGGTGGTTCCTGTTCGGTGGGATTCACATATAAATCTGGTTACCTTTCGATACTTCTCAGAAACACCTTTATTCCTAAGGTCCATCATCAATCCTGGTAGGCTATTGCTGCTGTGTCGCTCGTAATGAAGCGCATAAAGCATCACCAGGCGGGCAGCATCAAACTCTGTCACTCTGGGGTTCTGCAGGAGCCTCTTTACGTTCTGAAAAAACAGAGAACTGATATTTACCCTCCCTTCACTTGGGTGATGTATAATATCTTAGCTCTAAGAATTACTGAATGGTAGTGATACATCTGACTAAGATATGCATGACTAAGATCACTGGGCTTCCCAGGTGGCTCAGTGGGTAAAGAATCTGCCTGCAAAGCAGGAGACACAGGAGATGCAGGTTCGATCCCTGGGTTAGGAAGATCCCCTGGAGAAGGGCAGGGCAACCCACTCTAGTATTCTTGCATGGAGAATCACATGGACAGAGGAGCCTTTGGGCTACAGTCCATAGGGTCGCAAAGAGTTGGACACGACTGAAGTGACTGAGCACATAAGATCACTACTAAGGCAACGTACAGGTCATAGGCTTAGCAACTGTTTCAGCGACAGAAAATTAAACGCCTTTTGCCTAAGATAAGAATTAAATAAGGACATAAATTCTCATTGTAATTGCTTAAGACAAATATGAATTTAACCATGGTTACTTCCTCTTTTCTTTCCTTTGACTGAGATAGTCCAGGGTCTTATGTAGGAGAGATTACAATTTCCTTGCCGAAATAAGGAATACATGTTATTCCCACCACTAGTTCTACTACTTTGGTCAATACAGCACACAAGGGAACTTACCAGTCGACTTGGGAAACTACTGCCTTCTTTCAGTGTTAGTCACTGATCAGTGAAACGAAGACACGTTGGTAGGATTTTACATAGGAGAATGGGCTTAACTTCCAAGAAGCATCATATGTAACAGTATGTCTCAACATGGTTCACAGAGATATGAAAATGTAACAGCAGGGAATCTGTAAATTGAGCACTTATGATCTTAAGAGGGCAGGTACTGACAGCAAAGGAAAATAGACAAAATGATGTTTAGGTTTTATCAATTCTCCCATAAGGAGACTTCCCTACAGTATAGATTTATGTTTATTATGCAGCAGAACCAATTAATTAGAGCCAACAAATACTTTTGATCACTCTCGTAAGCACAAGGTACTACGCCAGGCATTGGAGGTGACACAGAGATGAGTTAGAGCCACTTTCTGGCCTCAGTGAGTTCACAGACAACGGGGTAAAGGAGGATGAAACAGTATAGCTCATTCTGCTATAAAATACATTTCTTATTGTGCTTTAGCTCTACAAGATTGGTAAACATGGGAATAACACAGCAGGCATATTGGTTTGTATGTAATTTTTCAGCAAGTTAATATTTAGAAAAGGTCAGAGACCTTTCTAAAGTTTCCTCTTTAAAGAACATGCTTCACCAATATGTTAAGAAAAAAGATGAAAATACAACAGAAGTGTTTTTTGTAAGAAGTAACTGACTTTGTAGCTTTAAGAACTGCTGCACCTTCCACAATGTTAAGCAACATGGGGAAAGGGAAAATGCGAATGAAAAGAATGCAAAGATGTTTATCTGTGTCAAAAAGAAAAACAAAACCACCAGCCAAAACTGACTGATATCCTCATATTGTACTTTTAATTTTGATGACACAAGTCTCTATGAGAAGCAGATATTTTTGAGGCCTTATCTGTTGAAAAAAAGCCACAAAGGATGGTCTGAGTGCATTTCTAAGTGTTAAGTGTTAGTCGCTGTCGTATCCAACTCTGTGACCCCACGGACAGTAGCCCATCAGGCTCCTCTGTCCATGGAGTTCTCCAGGCAAGAAAACTGGAGTGAGTTCCCATTTCCTTCTCCAGGTGCAAATGCCACTGGAAACTTAACTATGCTAGCATTTTAATTAGGATTGTTATTATTTTATTAGGGCTCTGCTTACAAAGTTATGTAGATTTTTCTTTCTTTTTTAGTTATATAAATTTTAAGTGATCTGCTTATAACCCTATTTTCCCATAACCCTTGTTTATTTTTAGTGCACGATTTTGCAGAATGTGAAGTTTATTCAGGAACACATATGTGGTATTATAACAGAAACATATGTATGCAAAAACCAAAAACTGAAAATCAGTGCAGTGGGGGAAAGGGAACACAAGGTAAAGAGACGTCCGTCTAGTTACTGAGGAATCATAAAAGACTTCATTTCTACAAAAGGCCTCAAAAACTAAGCTTTGGAATTAGTTTGAGAGACTGAAAGAAATGCTATTAATAGGGGTATGGAAATCAGAGAAAGAAATGAGTTGAAAGACTAGTAAGAGTTTTGGAGGGCACTGGATTCTGAGGACATAACCACTAACATCTGTATAGTACTCTGCAACTTACAAGATGCTTTTAAATACATTATCTTTTTAGTACTTCATGACAACCATGTCTAATGTCTAAGAACTCTACTGTTCACACTAAAAAGAGGGACAATGATGAAATGCAGAGCCTCCTAGGTAGCTTTCAAGTAGAAAGTTCTCTCAGTAGGATTTCTACTGTTGCTTTTCTGGGTGAACATTTCACTACCATCATCCTTACAGGATCAAAAAGGAAGAAATTTCTCTTCTACAGATTTAAACCCTGTAATCACAAAACTTTCCTTACTTCTTTTCCCTTTTGTGGTAACTATTCCATAGAGCAGTGACTAAATACAGGCTATTTAGAATAGCCTGTTCACACATTCCACTAATTTCTATCATAATATGGAGAAATTTCAGGATACAAATTCCTTATCAAGTAAAAATAAACATTACTTAAGTATCTCAGTTACTTGGCTGAAGTTTAAAACATCCATCTGAGATCTCTGTTGTACATCTAAGCAAACCTGAGATACTCAAGTAACTATAAACCCACAAAAACCAGAATGGTGACAAAGCCTATTTGCAGTAATTAGTTTATACCCTTCCTATTTGCTCCCTTTCTAATTACCTCCCCTTCAATCTTGATTCCTGGCTCTGTTTCCCATTAATAAATCCTTCCCACTTCTATTCCTTGAAATGTGGTACTGGTTTTTAGAGTCTGTGGCTTGACGCTGAGCTCTTCCTCGATGGGAGGCCTTGTGATCTGATGGCCCAGATCTGGTCCAAGACTACTCTGCTTTCCCTTGAGCCCTGAGGACCCAACCCATGGCTCAGGTCAGTACTCCAGTTAAACTCGCCTAGTTCCTCATGAAAAGACACGTGGAGGTACAAGCTGAATTCTTCCTTCTTTCTCGGTTACATAAGTCCTTGAAGAAGCAGGGACTTTCTGTCTGCCTGGATTCCATGCTATCCTTTGACTTAATTTTGAACTACTTCCCTCATGGCTACTGGACTCAACGTGACTAACAGGGACATACATTATACAGAGATTCCAGGGTGTTAACCAGGGAAGAGGAGAAAAAGCATCTGAGAGCCTTCAGTTACATAGGAGGTGTATGCTTCATGGAGGTGTTTATATGTTGAAAATATGGCTGAATTATATAATGACTTTTTGGTATCTTTTTTCTTATTAAATTTCCCATAACCTAGAGATAATCAAGAGAGAAAAGTATACTGTTACATAAGAACAGCAGCTGAGTAAAGAGTGAAACAGAAAACTATTGTCCACTTAAGAAGATGGGATTCAAAAATCTTCCACTGAATCCTAACATTAGTGTAGGCCCAATGAAGGAATAGGAAAAGAAATGCAAAATCACTATCTGTGAAGGTCAAGTTTCAAAATGGAGCTAACATTCATTCAAAAAGACATTAACTAAAAAACAATTCTGATATTTAGAGATTCTTCTGTTATCTTGGGCTGACTACTTTTCTTCTACCAAAACTATGCTAAAGCAGCACAAGAAAAAAACATTTGTATTGACATACCTATATTTTATGGAGAAGGAAATGGGAAACCGACTCCAGTATTCTCACCTGAGAAATCCCATGGACAGAGGAGCCTGGTGGGCTACAGTCCATGGGGTAGCAAAAGTGTTGGACATGACTTAGTGACTGAAAGATGACAATGACAACCTATATTTTATTTTATTTTTTTTTCCAACAAACAAGTTTCTGCCATTTTTAATTGTATTCAGAGCAACAAAAGATTCCAAGATTACAAAAAGAGAATAGAACACTAGCGCTTGGGGCTGGTTCTGCTGCCCAGTGGAGGCCAAGTATCGTTGTGAGAACTGAAGCCCCGTCGAAAGACATTTCAAGCAAAATGAATGTTTCTTAAAAAAAAAAAAAACAACTTTATATGATGTTTTCTTTAAAACTTTTCCCTCAGCATAAAGTAAATTCTTACATCTGGTTACATAGTCTGCTCTCTTCTGCTGCTAAATTAATCTCGAGGACAGCCCAAGAAAGTCATGTCTGAGGCACTCCCTAATCAATACTCCAGTCTAGGGAAAAGCAGAAAGGTGTCAATGAGTGGTGGGAGAAAGTATTTTTGTAGCTTGGGTCATCCCAATGGTGGGTACTCTCAGCACCTGAGTGACTTATGGGATTGAACAACCCCACAGGCACATCACTGTAGGACAACACCAAGGGCTAAAGCTGGGAGAGACTGCAGGCTTGGTTTATCTACTGTGCAAGAAACAGAGTTCCAAAATGTGAAGCATTAGCCCAGGAGGGCACCAGCAGAGAAGCAGTATCGTTCCAGAATTCCCTTACCTTTGGGATTGGGTGTGAGTTCCAGTATTGGTGGCCAATGGAATCTGTAGCTATGTGACAGCCTTTTAAAGTAATGCATGTGCAAGCTGTTTTAAACCACAAGGGCTACTCAGACCATAGCTTCCCATTTAATTCCATAAAAAGCTAAGAGAAAAGTGGGATAAAGAAAGGAACCAATACTCTTGCTCAACTGAATTGAGGTTGGAAACCAATCAATGTGTATCATTTATTTTATGGCCAAATCTAATGGGGAAAAATCAAAGATGAGTCAAAGGCTACTTTTCCCTTTAAAACACTGCTGCTGCTGCTGCTAAGTTGCTTCAGTCGTGTCCAACTCTGTGCGATCCCATAGACGGCAGCCCACCAGGCTCCTCTGTTCCTGGGATTCTCCAGGCAAGAATACTGGAGTGGGTTGCCATTTCCTTCTCCTATATTTTAAACTATTGTACAAAATACAGTTGAAGTCTGCAACTGAAGATAATCCG